TTTTAAACTTAACAAAAAATCTATTTAGGAAAAGATTAGAAGAAAAACCTAAATAGTTTTTAGATCAATATTCTAATCATATTGATCATCGTATAATTAAAGAAAATCTATTTGTTAGGAAAAACATTAATTACCGATTTTCTAATTAATTATTAAAATATTAAATATTGATAGGATAGGATTTAATAAAAAAAAAAGATTTTTTTTTTCATTTAAAAAATAAAGATTAAATAATATGATAGATTAGATACATTTATAGTTTATAATACATTATAAAATACATAATTCATTTTAATTAAATAACTAATATTTTTATAGTAAAATATTAAATACAAATTTACATAATTTTTTGTAAAAATTCTATTTAAATGAATAATAATAATAATAAGTAAATAAATTTTATATTATTTATATAAATGTATAAATTATAATATGTAAATAAATTTAGATCAATATATGAAATTATAACTATTAAATAAATTTATAAGTTAAAATCAATGAATATATTAATTATTATTTAAGTAAATATTTTTTAAAAAATAATTTTTATTTTATAAATAATTATAAATTATTATAGGAAATATTAATTATTCATTATTGAATAATTATGATTTATTATGAAAAGTTTTATAGGTGGTAAGATTCTTGCTAAATCTTTCCTAGTTTGGGTTAAATTGGTCAGGTCAAGATGTTTTTATTAATTATAACAATTAATTAAATTTAAATAATAAATTATACACACAGAGTTTTATAATTAAGATTTCAATATTTAAGATTTATGTTTTATTAGAATTTTATTTAATATATATTTTAATAATAAAATTAACTAAGATTAATATAAAGAATTATCTATTGTTATAATTAATTCATTAAATTTATGTTAATACGTTAAATTAATAATCTTACAAAGAATTCAAAATATGGAATTTCAAATCCTTTTTTATACTAAACTAAAATAATAATTAACAATATAATTAAATAATACATACTAATCTTAATATATTCATATATGTATATAAACTATATAAAATATAATAATAAAATAATATTGATAAGAATCTTTTAATAAAATAATTATATAATTATTCATAAAACAATTTAATACTAAAACTAATTAATAATAAGAAAATATAAAATAAAATAAAATATTAAAACTAATTAAAAATTCTCTTTCAGAAATCTTTAGAATGATAATGAATTCCTTAGAATCTTTTAAAAAATAATTGAATAAAAATATTATAATAAAATATATAAAACTTATAGACTTATATAAAATATAATAAATCTATTACTAATAACTAATTCTGTATTTTTAATTAATAATAAAAATTAATAATATAATTTCCAAGTTAAGAGATTTTATCTAATATAAATTTCTTAATTAGAACAAAATATTAATTAGAACAAAATAAAATAAAGTTTAAATAATTAACTTATAAACGAGAGTTTATTATAAGAAACTAAAATAAACTTAAAACACTATATATGTGAAGGGAATAATAAAATATGTTTTATAATAACTATTAATATGCTTTATTATTAAATATTTTAGATTTATATTATAAATCTTTCTTAGAAATTATTATAAATTTTTTATTTAAAATTTAAATATTTTATTAAAAATAATATTTTTTATTATTATTACAATTTCTTATAATAATAACTCTTGATTTTCGAAAGGAAACTCAAGAGTTATTAATATATAATTTAATAAAATTTGTTATATTATTAATAATTAATTAATTATAAAATTAAGTAAACTTATTAATTATTTTATAATTATTAAGGATTAAGAAATATAGACTTATAACAATAAGTCTAATTTCTTAAACAAACAATAATGTAACAGATATATGGTAACTTCGAACCTATCCAATGATAGTCCTTTGGTTACGTAACTTATCTTTAAACAGGTAGCAATTTCGGCTAATCAAATAAAATCTTTTATTAATTTCGTACATTAAATTTTATTATTTTATAGTTAGTTATATAATTAAATACTTGGTTAAATATATATTATATTTAGTAATTAGTAAACTAAGTTAAATTAAATTATTTACCAATCATAAAATTATGAACATGTATAAATAATAATTGAGCATGTAACTGTAACGCACTAGCGTTACTATTAACGTAAATTGTTATTATAAATATTAATATTAATAAATAAAATATAATTATTAAATAAAAATATATTACTCAGTGTAAGCCCAGTAACTGATAACAGATAGAGTTATTAAGCGATTTGCTATATTCTAGTGTGATAGAAAATAATAGTTATAAATATAATTAATTTAGTTTTTATTATTAAAAACTCGAATAGAGAGGTGTTAAGTTATATCAGCCTTTGAAATTAATTATTATTCGTTGTTTTAGTTAATAATAAACTTAACTTTTACTTTAATAACTATACTAAAATTAAAATTAATTAATATAACTATTATCTACAATTTTAATATTATTTTTAATATTAAAATTGAGAAAATAAAAATTAAAAAAAAATAAAAATTATACTTAATTATGTATAGTTTATTATAAGTAAATATAATAAACAATAACCAAGCAACAGTAGAATAGTAGTTGAAAATATTTTTAAAAAAAAAAAAAACTTTTATGATTAATAATAGTTTTTTGATATATAAATAATAAATTTATTTTATTTGTTATTATTTATTATATTTTCTTAAAATAATAACTCTTGATTTCTCAAAGAGAATTCAAGAGTCCTATTTATATTTTTTTAAAAATCAATCTGTTAAATAAATTTATTTTTTAAACTTAACAAAAAATCTATTTAGGAAAAGATTAGAAGAAAAACCTAAATAGTTTTTCGATCAATATTCTAATCATATTGATCATCGTATAATTAAAGAAAATCTATTTGTTAGGAAAAACATTAATTACCGATTTTCTAATTTAATTATTAAAATATTAAATAAAAAAAAAAGATTTTTTTTTTTCATTTAAAAAATAAAGATTAAATAATATGATAGATTAGATACATTTATAGTTTATAATACATTATAAAATACATAATTCATTTTAATTAAATAACTAATATTTTTATAGTAAAATATTAAATACAAATTTACATAATTTTTTGTAAAAATTCTATTTAAATGAATAATAATAATAAGTAAATAAATTTTATATTATTTATATAAATGTATAAATTATAATATGTAAATAAATTTAGATCAATATATGAAAATATAACTATTAAATAAATTTATAAGTTAAAATCAATAAATATATTAATTATTATTTAAATAAATAATTATTTTAAAAATAATTATTAATTTATAAATAATTATAAATTATTAATGATTTTTCATTAATTATAAGAAATATTAATTATTCATTATTGAATAATTATGATTTCTTACATTTACAATGATAAAGAATGAAAATTAAAAATTAAAAATAATTATAAAGCGGTATTTAAAAATAATAAATAATTAAATTATAATAAAGTAATTAATTTTTAGATTATAAACATTTAAATTATAAAAATATTGAATATTTAAATAATACATAATTAATAATAATTAGATTAAAATAATATATAATAAACAATAATTGTTTATTTAATAGTTAATTTATTATTTATAAGCAGAGTATAAATATAAAAATTAATATAAATAGAAATAAAAATTAAGTTTTAAAAATTGTACCTAATTAGCCATTATAAAAATTAGATAATATTAATAATAATATTTTAAAATAATTATTTTTAATAAATTATAATTTTAATAAAACAAAATGTATTAATAAATCAATAACTAATTGATTTAATTATTTCAAATTACTTAATAAAATATTTGAATAAAATTAAAATTACTTTTATTTTTTTTATTAACTAGTTATCTAGTTATATTTGAACATGAAAATAAAGACTTTTAGTAAGAAATTACTAAATTAACTTTATTTTCAATATATTTCAACTATAAGAAATTTAGATAAATTTATTATAAATTTTATCTATCTTTCTTATTTAATACATTAATTTAATACATTAAATTTTTGTATTTATTTTAACCAATAATATTTAATTATTAATTTATATATATTTGATTCTCTTGAGTTCTCTTCGAGAAATCAAGAGTAATTATTTTAGAATTTTTATAATAAATAATAATTCAAATAAAATAATTAATTAATAAACAAAACCCTTTTTAATAAAACATATTTTATAAATATTTGTGTCTTTTATTCCTTTTGTGTTATTGTTTATTATAAACTTTCTATAATAAGCTCTATCTTATATTTAAGTTAAGTATAATTATTTATTTATATTATTTTATATTTATTTAATTATATTTAATTTTATTTTCTCAAATTAATGTTAATTAGTAATAATTAATGTTAATTTGTAGTTAAGAAATTATTTATAATTAATTTTATAAGTAATTTCTTACATCAACAAAAATGTAAAAGGTAAGTTTATTATTAACTAAAATAACGAATAATAACTAAATTTAAAGACTAAGATAACTTAACACCTCTCTATTAGAGTTGTTAATAATAAACACTAGAATTAATTTTATTTATAATTATTTATTACTATTACACTAGAATATAGCGCAGCACTTTATAACTCTATCCGTTATTAGTTACTGGGCTTACACAGGGTAATTTATTTATTTAATAATTATATTTTTATTTATTAATATTAATATTTATTTTTAACAATTTACATTAATAGTAACGCTAGTGCGTTACAGTTACAAGTTCAATTATTATTTATAAATGTCAATAATTTTATGATTGGTAAATAATTTAATTTAGCTTAGTTTACTAATCACTAAATAAAATATATTTAACTAAGTATTTAACTATATAATTAATTATAAAAATAATAAAATTTAATGTACGAAATTAATATAAGATTTTATTTGATTTGCCGAAATTGCTAACTGTTTAAAGATACCATACGTAACAAAAGAACTATCATTGGATAGGCTTGAAGTTACCATGTATCTGTTACAAAAAACGAATTATACGAATAGTGTAATGGTTATTACGTTTGCTTAACAAGTAAAAGGTCTCTGGTTCGAATCAATGTTTGGTAATTAATACTATTTTTAAATAATTTTTAAAAAATAGTAGTAGTCATTATTTATTATTGAATTTAAATTAATTAATTGTAAATTTATATATAAATTTTATTTTGATTAGTATGAAATTCTCAAAATTAATAATTTCTTTAATGATAACATTGGTAATCCTGTCTATGGTACTCCTTAAATTAGTGGCATGGTTCGATTTCTCTTTATAGTTCTCTAGTGATTACTTATCTTAATAGGAATGCGAATAATCCCCTTCGTCTTTATTTCTAAAGCTCGTATAATCAGATGAGTAGTAAATAATGTTCTGACCTGGAGAATAAAATAAAATATAAATAAACATTTAAATTTGAATTTTTAATATAACAAATTTTATTAATAAATAAATCAAAAATTAATAGAATTAAAAATCATTAATTATAGCTCTTAAAACTAATAAAATATTTTTTTACTATTAAAAATAAAATAAATAATAATAATAAGACAAAAATAAAATTCAAATTCAAATTTTCATAAAGATTTCAAAATGGTTTAATCAAGAAGAAATCAAGAATAAATTATTAACCTCACCAAAAAAAAGGTATCACTTATAAAGGAATAACCTTTAACAATTCTTAAAACGTTTACAAAATTACTGAATTAAACGCAGAAAACTACCCTAGATGGAGAAGAAATATAATTTTTTTATTAACAATAAATAAGCTAACCAAATATGTTCTTCATCTGGTAGTAAAGAAATTAAGAAAAAGAGATATAAGAGAACAATTTACAGATTATACTAAGAACCAATTGATAGATCATTAGTCTATAAAAAGAATATTAAAAATGTTGATATAACTAACGACATCACAATAAAATGGATTATTATAAATATAATTGTGGAAGAATCTCAAAAATTAATAAATGGAAAAGTACAAATCGCTTTCCAAATTTGGAACACCTTTCAAGTTTCATTTACCAAATATGAAGAAAAAGAAAAGATTGAAACTCAAAACAAAATTGAAATAATTAAGTTTGATACCAAAACTAACATCAATATCTTCATCGCCAACTTTTAAAATTCAATGGAAGAACTTGAAAAAATTGACAATGATCTAAGTACTAGTACAAATATTGGCATTTTAAATGGATGTTTACCTGAAAATTTAAAATGGATTAATGTCTTTCAACATAAGAATTGGAAATCATGTTGTTCATACGTCAAGGAAATTATTCCCAATATTTTTTATATAATTTAAAAAAAAATTTCGTTCATGAAAACAAACATAACATTCTTCCTAATATTGAAATTAAAAATAATATGAACTTTTGAAATAAAAATAAAACAAGAAATAAAAGAAAAAACTAGTTAAAAAGAGCATGAAACTATAGAATTAACTACACAAGAAAACTTGGAATAGAAGCTTTTACTGACGTTGATTTTGTAGGAGACTGTAAAACTAGAAGATCGACAACTGGCTTCTTAATTAAAATGGTTAATTCTCTTACTAATTGGTGTTGTAAATTACAGCATTGTATATCAACATTCACTTCAGAGTCAGAGTATTACAGCTTAAGTGAATGTGGAAATATTGTATTTTGTATTTAATTTTATTAAAAAGAATTAAATTTTAATATTAAATATATCAAAATTAACAAAGATAATAAAGTTGCCATATTCAATGGTAAATACCAATCTATTAACCCTAAAATAAAGCATATTGAAATAAGAGTCCACTATATAAGGGAAATAGTAAATAAAAACCTTATGAAATTAGAATATATTAAATCACAAAATAACTTAGCTGATAGATTCACAAAATATCCAAATAACACACTTATTGGAATAAATTTAGAAACTCTTCATTAGATAAAATTGAAGATTTAAAATTATAATAAAATATTAAAACTAATCAAATGTAATTTTTAAATGAAGTTACACTTGAGGAAGAGTGTTAGAAACTACTATAAATTATTATTATAATATTTTAATTTATATTAACCAATCATTATTTTAATGATTTCAAAGTAACATATTCATATAAAAAAAGATGAAAATGTATTTAAAAAAATTATTTTAACTTTTTTTTTTATATCTTCGTAATAAAAGTAATTATAAAATAAAATAATTATAAATAAATTAAGAAATTTTTTCTGAAATTTTCGGGAACACTTATCTTTTATAAATTGAAAGCAACATAAAATACTTTTTAATTTTTAAGATATTTATAATATAAATATTAATAAAATATTAAAATAATAATAATAATAATAACAATAATGATATATGTTTAAAATAACTGAATAATATATATTAAAAAATAAAAAAATAAAAAAAAAAATAAAAAAATATTTTCATCAATTTTCTTATTAATTTTTTTTTTATTTTTTTATTTTTTAGATTTAATCATTATCACAATTATAAAAATATTTTAGAGTGGATTTCTTTTCCATTTATTTTTTGTCAATAATAATATTTGAAATAATTTTATTATTCATATATTATTCAATATTCATATATATATTATTCATTATAATATTAAATATATTAATTAAATAGTTAATTTCTTCTAAATATATATTAAGAATATTATTATTATATATAACTTAAAAATTAATTATTTTAAAGTTTTTATTAAAAATACATATTACTTCTATATATTATAATATAATGAAATATATGTAGTTATTTTAATTATAATTAAATATATACAGTTGATATTATTTATTATATTAATATTTATTATTTAATTATATTCTAATTTATTAATATTAAGTATATTTATATTGTTCAACTTTAATATTTTAAAATAAGAAGTATAAATTAATATTTAAGAAATATATATATTTAATATAATATATACAAAATATAATATATATAATATATAAATAATATATATTATATAAAATATAAATAATAAATATATTCAATTATATTTTATTATATTATAATTTATTATTAATAATTATTAAATATAAAAAAATAAAAATAAAAAAAAAATTTAAAAAATTAAAAAAACTTTTTTTATTATTAAATATAAATTAAAATACTAAAACATTTTCTATTTTTTTTCTTATTAATATTATTGTTTTTATTTCATTATTTTAATTTTCTTTTATTGAGATGATTTCCATTTTTAATAAAAAAAATAATAATAAAATATTAAAAAAAAAAATATTTATATTTAAAAGCAAAATCAAATTTTTTCAGTAGTAAAAATTGTTAAAAGTTTAAAAAATAAATAAATAATAAATAAATAATTAAATATTGAAAATATTAAAAAAAACAATTAAAAATAATTTTACTTTTATTAAAATTGTTTAAAAATAATAAATATAAAATATTTAATATTAATTATTTAAATAAAATAATTAAAAAAAATTTTTTTTATATGTAACAATAAAAAGAAAATTTTGAAACTAATAAAAATAAAAGTAATTTTATTAATATTTTTTTCTTTTTCTTTTTTATTTTTAAATTTGCACTTTTCTCTCAACTTTTTTATTTTATAATTATTATTATTATTATTATTATTATTAATTTTCTATTTTTTCTTCGTTTTTATTTTATTTTTTTTTTGTTATTTTAATTGTGGTATTTTAAATTAATAAATATTCAAATAAATGTTAAATAAGTCTACACTATTAATCTTTTAATAACTTATTGTGTTATTAAGTGAAATATGTTCTTGAATTTATTATTATTATTATTACTATTAATTTTAAAAATAAATTATTTTTTGATAAATTTTAAATTAATTTTGGTTATATATATATATAGAAAAAAAAACATTTATAAATAAAATATTATAGCACTATGGAGAGAATATATCTTATATATTACTTAGGATTGTTAGAATTATATTAGATATATAAGGTGAAATGTTTACCTGTAATCCTAATCACCATATTCCGTAAAAACCTCTTCTGGGGAAAAAAAAGAAAATGGTAATAGGGTAGGATTGAGTCAGGAGCCTTATGTATGTTAGCCTATGGACTAACAAATAGGATAGAATCTAGTTCGATTAGTGAACTTTAAAAAATTTTATAAAATTAAAATAGAAATAAAGCATAATACAATAAAAATAGTAATATTATAATCTTAAATTTCATTAAAATAAAAATTAAATTTAATATGCAACTAATGATATTATTGTTATATAGTAATTGTTAAAAATATATTTTAATATAAAATTTAATCTATGATTATCCAATATTTTACAAATACAAAATACTCGAAATACTATAAAACGTGCTTAAATAATAATCCTAATTTTTTTTCTTTTCTCTTTAACAATAAAAAACCTTAATATATATATATACAATCATACATACTTAATTATATATATTTATAATAATAAATATTAATATATAATAAAGAATATAAAACATCTTTACTTAAACATAATTATAATATTATCATAATATTGTGTGTCTCTTAATTGTGTGTTTATTAACAGATTAAGAGTCTCAATCTCAACCGATTGAGATAGAATGAAAGTTAAGTATTAATAGCTACAGTAATATATATACTTATTTAAGACAAATAAATATAAATTCATACTAATTTATTTTTTTTCATTTATTTTAAATAATAAAAAATAAAATAAAATTAATAATAATATACAAAATAATAATAATTCAACAAAATATCCAATTCTAAACAAAAACATTAAAAATAATTTCATACGAGTTATTAAAATAATATGATAATATAAGGAGCCGATTAATCAAAAATAAAATTAAATTATAGTTTTAAAAGTTTAAATAGAAATTGACAGTAAAATCAAAAAAAAAAATTTATAAACTGAATAAAAGATAAAAAAAAAAGAGTCAGCTATCAAAAATATAAGCTGAATACTATAATCAATAGAGTCAGCTATTTAAACTATAAGCTGAATAAGAAGATAAGATGTCAGCTATCAAAAGTATAAGCTGAGACTATAACTAAATAAAGTCAGCTATTTAATTCATAAGCTGAATAAAAAAGTCAGCTATCAAAGACATGAGCTGAATATCAATAAATT